TTCAGTCTTCGTGCAAACCTGGATCTGTGCACGCAATTGTTTTCGCGAAAAAACGAATACTTATTAACTTTATACTTATTAATTTAGAATTAACAAAAAGAGGTAATATTTGTGAACACATTATAAACTACGTGAATATCATATATATCAATCGAACAAATTGAGCTATTTTAAAAACAAATAATGCCCGTATTATATTATTTTCCTCTGAGTCCACCTTCCCGAGCTGTCATGCTCGTGGTAGAGGCAATAGGGCTTGAAATGGAATTAGTAGTATTGAACACGATGGCTGGTGAGCATTTGACACCGGAATACGAGGAGGTATGAAAAATTAATAGTGTTTAAATATTACTAAGTAAAAATACTTCCGCTATTTTAGAATAATTTTGTAATTTGAATAGAAAATATTATTGAAAAGCACTATATTTTTTAATATTAGAAAGAGCATAATTTTATTTTTAGTTGAATCCACAAAAGACGGTTCCTTTTCTAATCGACGATGATCTTAAAATATCAGAAAGGTCTGTAAAAGCGTCTTAATAAGTGTCATGTAGCTCATCTTATAGTATTTATATATATACATTACTATTTTCATCAAGAAATTACATTTTAGTCGAGCTATCATGGCTTATTTGGTCGATCAATATGGTCAGGATGATACATTATATCCGCGTAATATAGAGGCACGTGCTTTAGTTAATCAACGATTATATTTCGATCTTAGTAATCTTTTTGCGAGTATATTTGAGTGTTACGTACGTATACATTTCATTATTTCTAAATAAAATATATTAAGGCTGCATATGACCAATTATTGCACATTCTGTGATCATAGTTAAAAGTCCTCAGAAAGGAAATCGATACGTGTGATCCAGCACAGTTTGAAAAACTATTAGAAAATTTTCAAATCATGAACAATTTTCTTGAAGGACAAGCTTACGCGGCTGGAGATAATTTAACGATCGCCGATCTTTCCTTAGTTGCGTCAGTAACAACAGCGATGGTAATTTTAATAATGTTATGTAGTATTAATTGACTACAATTATTTTTAGAACAAACTAAAACAACAATGCTACATGTTAATTCTTTGGTATAGTCTTTCTTTTTTGTAGATATTTTTTGAGATTATTCTTTCTCTCCTATTAGTAATTTTATATGGATTTAGTTACTTTGTTGTCAGTTGTTACATATTTTAAATTTATTTTGAGATCTGCAAAACTAATCAATTGTTTGTTAGATTTTTGGATTTGATTTGGGAGAATACAATAACATTTCTGACTGGTTGGAGAGAATACAAACATCTGCACCTGGATACGAGAAAGCTAATGGTGAACCTGTCGAGATATTCAAGCAAATGGTTCAAGCTTCACAAGGCAACACAGAAGAAGGAGAAGGAGGAGGAGAAGAAGGAGAAGGAGGAGAAGAAGAAGGAGAAGGAGGAGAAGAAGAAGCAGAAGGAGAAGAAGAAAAAAAAGATGGAGGAGGAGAAGAAAATGAATAATATATGTAATATATTATTTTAATTCGAATCTTCAAATTAACACATATTAAATATATAAAACGTTTACGTGTAATGCTATCAATTAAATTTTAATCAAATAATTGTGTAGAAAAAAATATTATTTATTGCATAAGGTTTTTATCAAAACTTATATTTAATACGATTGTACGTTGATTTTTAAATTGATTTTTAAATGTATTATAATATTATTTAAATTTCTGCAATTTTTGCAAATAAATATATTTTATAAATATAAAAATAAGAATACAAACAAATTAAGAAATAATACCTGCAAGCATAATATATTATAAATTAAAAAAAGTAAATTATTAATATAATAACAATAATTTATAGTGTTATATTAATTTAGAAAAATTACATCATTTGATTAATTTCAAATTATGTAATTCCTATAATTTCTTATATTTTTAAATTTCTATTTTTTTTATTGAAAATTTAAAACATTGAAGAAGAGTAATATGCCGACTGATGGCAACGCCACTAAAATTCTACATTATTCACATTCAACATATGTCATCCCATCTATGTTCTATGTCGGGTAATGATCTTTTGAAAATTACATACACACTATAGGAAACCTATATTTTTATTTATAACATCTTATTTAATTAATTATTTGTATATTTTGTTCAATAAAATTTTAACCTAACAGGATTAATAAGAATTTATGTAATTCTTGGATTATATGAAATACAACATTGTTTAAATAATGATTATTCTTCAATTGATCTATGATAGAAACACAAGTTGCAACTCATGATAGTCATAAAAAACTATTATTTTATTATATATACTTTATACAGAAAGTTGTAGTAAAAATACGTTTATTTTTATAAGTAATTAAATATTAAATTAATAAATATATATTAATGTACATAATTATTAAATTGTATAATAATAATAGAATTGTGTAATTAAAGAATCATATTATGTGGATATAGCATGTAGGAGTATCAAAAAAATAAATACAACATGAAGCAATAAAAAAAATTATGAATACGGTATATTATTTATTAAAATGTTGAATGAATATGGTTATACTTGTGTAAATGTCTCTATTTCCAATAAGTGTATTTTTAATTTTAACACAATCATAATTATAACATTATCACCTAGCGACAAGACGTTGTTATTAAAGCTTTTAATATTTTATCATAGGTACAGTCGAATCTCTATAAAAGTAACTTGTCGGGACCGACCGATCTTCGTAAAAGTAAATAAATGCACAAGCATATATGTTCGATTATGGGAGGTTAAAGCATGACTTTTACGGAGATTAAAATAAAAACGGAGATTCGACTATAAAAGTGATAAATCCAAGGGTGCTAATTAAAATTACGTTACAACACAAAAAAATGTTAATGTGACAAGAACACAAAAAATTAATTTAAAGTCAGAATATAACTCATGTAACGCGTTGTATTATAATTATTTATGAGACATGATTCGCTACGCTACGTATAATGTATAATACATAATATTATACATTATGTTTTGATATTAAAGATATAGAAGATCTTACAAACTGCTATATTTAATAGCGAAAAAAGTAGACGCAATAAAAAAGTTTTCTAGCACTTGCACGAACATGTTCGAGACCAAGTATAGGGGATGTGTGTAATTAAGTAACACTATCAGATTCTTTGCCTCAAAAAGTATAAGAAATAATGTCGATTTTATTTTTCGCAAGTCCAGTAACAACAGACCTTTTTATAATTTTTGTCTTTCAATATTATTGTATTTTATACATTGTGAATAAAATATTTTGTTTAAAAAAAAACACAATTAAAAAGAACAAAATTTTGGTGTTTTAACTAATAATTATTCATTCGCAAAAGTCATTAAACATGAAAATATGTTAGTGTACACTTTATAAGCATAAAAATTAAACTATTATAAAATTAGAAAAAAAGTTTAATTGCCATATATATATATATACGATTGAGCGCATAAAAATATATATAAATATATATAAATATATATAAATGCATACATAGAATGTTTTGCTCCAGTTAGTTACGGGTTATTTGCAGTATTTTTCTTTAGCAAATATTAAGATAAACAGGATCTATTTTTTAATATATAAACAGAAGTATCTTACTATTCAGCTTTCAAATAAATATTTTACTTAAGATAAACGAAAAGTTTATTTAAAATTATATACAGAAACAGTAGAAAGAATGAAAAAAAGGAATTTGCCTCTGTTGCAACTTATTGTTAGAAAAGCTAATATCTTCCATCGCTAATTTCTCAAGAGAATTATACTTGGCTATTAAAATTATTGATTTTCTTTTTTACCATTATTTTCGCCTATAAAGCTTTTGTTTCCGATGCTAATGGTGATATCGAAATATATCATTCTCATTCTTTACATTCACATGTTACGCGCAACTTATCAAATGTGTATTAATGTAAAAAGAAATCTTGAAGATCAAATAGCAAATGTTTTCATTTGCTATCAAGTGGTTTGTTTGCTGAGTTTTTTGTAAGATGATATTTTACATATAGCAATTTACATTTATGTAAGATTTAATTTTTAATTGTTAAACTTATATAAGCTTTAAAAAAATGAAAATAAGTGTGTGTCTGTAGTATTGTATTTCTCTATTATGACGTTACTTATTGTAGACTTTGTAATATAGAACATTTTATCGTTCAAAGAGTTGATATTTTAATCAATGATAGTGAGACGAAATTGAACATTATTTTTTTCCGCTACTGATATAAATTTGACTGAGTCATTCGTCTGATAACATTATTAAACCTTTAACGTTTTCTCATGAATGCAATGTAATAAATGCAAACTTGTAAAGAAAAGCATGACTTGCAAATTTTTTATACGATAACAAATCATAGGCGTATCGAAATTAATTAATGCCGACTAGGAAATTGTTGATTAGGAAAAACATTAACTATAAATATTTCCTTTTTCAAAAACGTTAAAAGTTATATACGATAGTTATAACTACGATAGTTGAAGTTATTAAGAATGTAATGTAAATTTATTTATTTTATATTTCAGTCAACATAAACTTATAAAACCTGTAGTTTATAAATTTCAATTTTACTTTTAACTAGTATTTGTACAGTGCAATTAGATAACCGTAATGATAAGAGCGTTACGTCATGAGCAAGAGCAATTGAGTAATCAGTAAGGTCAGTTCACACAAAGTAAAATATTACTTCTTTACCACCAGGTGTCCTCTTCTTTAATAATATATATCGATCATATTTACTTATTGTAAGAGATTTCTTATTGTTTATTATGCAATTATGATTATTGTTTATTATGTAAATGGAACATTTAAAACAATCGAAAAAATTGCTATGAAACAGAAAATGGCAACACCCTCGACTATTAACAACGTTAAAAACCTTTAACATACTCGATCATCGATCTCACTCTTACGTACGTGCAAAACAGAAGTTGTTCCGTGTTACACAGGCTTTATAAATAGCTCGAATAAGTAAATTGACTAGTCAGTCTACCATAATCTCGCTACACGCCTCTAGAGAATACAATCTTCTGGTCCGTTGTAACTGCTTATCTCCATTTCTTTCCACCTGTTATACAATAAATAGTTCGCCAAAACTGCTAGAGTGATAAAACTGCTTGAACAATTGCGAATATTTGTGCGCGAAGACGACTGTAATTCGGCGAGTGCTTAAATAGTTTCTTATTACGCAATAATTTATGAATATTCTTTAGAAAACAAATTTTATTTATAAAATTTTTGATTTATTTTTCACGTTCTGCTCAGTATATAGTTAAATGTGTAACGCTACGGCTCGTCGTAATTTCCGGCCTATAATTAACAAGTTTGCTTTTAACTAATTAATAACGCAAATTTATGTGCCTCGAGTTAGATTTGTATGAGATAATGTCAACAGATTGTATCTGATATTTTAATTACTCTTCTTCGTATTTTTTTCTGTTTTTCAATATTTTTTTAAACATGAAAAACTCCCATATGTCGTCGAAAACAGTTTCGCGTCGCTCCAATACTTCCGACGTGCTAGAGATCACAGTGGCTACTTTATTAATAGTTTTGCGCATTTTCATCCACAGATTTCAAGATGCCTATTGATCTTTATCAACTTCCTGGAAGTCCGCCATGTCGGGCCGTACTCTTGACGGCGGCGGCCTTAGAAGTGGATTTAAATCTGAAAAAGGTGAATCTCGCTACCGGCGAACACCTAAAACCTGAATTTATTAAGGTAATTTGTAATGAAACTTCTTACAAAATTAAGCATTTAAAGATATAAGTGAATCCTTTAAATTAAATTGTCTGAGATTGTTATGTCTAAACCACAAGAATTTATTTTGCGAAGAAAAATACAGTAATTTATAATTAAACCTGAAAATCCTTCGAACGTATTTTTCTTAAACTTTCTTTAAATATCAAAAAGCTGTATGCTAAATATCAAAGATCTGTTGTGTTTCTAAGTTTTTATAATTTACTTATTAAATAAAAATGTATTTCAAATTTCAATATAATTTAAAATAATTGTTATTTTATACGTAATTTTCTTAATAGATGAACCCACAACATACAATACCTACATTGGATGATGGCGGTCTTTATTTGTGTGAAAGGTATTCTTCTTTAAATTTTTTATATTAACATTTAATAAATATCTGATTTTTGCACATAAAATAAATATATACTTTTTATAATTGTATACAATTTTGTTATATTTTTTTGAGTTTTTTTACTTATTATTTTTTATTTACTTAGTATAAAATCCAATATTTAGGCAAAACGAATTAATTTCAGATTTCTACATATTAAATAAATATTTTATTTACAAATTGTTTAATATCATTCTATATTATTATGATATCTATTAATTAAGATCTTATCAATTTACAGTCGTGCGATTATGACCTACCTAGCCAATCAATATGGCAAGAAAGATTCTCTCTATCCAAAAGATCCAAAAAAACGAGCTTTGGTTGATCAGAGATTATTCTTCGATTTGGGAACGCTGTATAAATCATTCTCCGATTATTATGTAAATTATCCATAAATTTTATGATATTTAATATATAATTGATAAAATTAATAATCATACACACACACACACACA